ATTATTTCCAATGTAAATTTAAAAAGTAATCTTTGCAAAAGTTATCCCAGCAAAGGCTAGAAAAGATGAGAATAAAAAGAATAAAAATTTGTCATAATAATCTTTAAGCTTAAGGCATTACTAAGCAATCAAGAGTGTAAAATAAATTTCAATTTCTTTGACAGCTAGGAGAGATCTCTCTTAATGATCTTCTACCTTTGCTGCACATTAGAATTTCTTGGGGAGCTTTTAAAATCCTGATGCCCAGGTTGTGCTCCACCCCAATGAAATCAGGTTGTCTGGGGGTAGGACTCAGGCATCAGTATTTTAGAAAGATATTCAAGTAATTCCAAGTTGTCGCAACTTTGGAACCCATGCAATTAAGGAAGAGCAATAAGAAATATATCATGGAAGGTTGAAATAAATAAGATACTGTGAAACTGGAAGATCATCAAGGTCCTAGTCACACCTTTATTTTCTTTTTGTATGTTCTGGGTATACAGTAGATATTTAAATACTTACTGAATTGAACTAGCCTTATTAAATCACATCATTATTAGATGACCCAGCCATCCATTTCCATAGTCCTTATATTGTCATTTTCATACCTCTTAAGCATGAAAGATATTACACTAGCCAATGCATGCCCTAATATCTGTGCTTTATCTTCATCACTGATGAGAGTTTTAACAATTACACAAATCCATCGTGCCAGGAGCCATCCATATCCCTGTTCTACTCCCACTAGCAATGAGGTTTTTATTCTAGCCAGTAGGTGAGCAATCCATCTCCAAAATCCCATTTCAGAGTCAGCTTCCTTAAAGCATTCCTGGTACAAACTGCATCAGAGTGGGTTTCTTAGAAACAGACTCTGAGATGGGAGTTGCCTGCAGAAGGTTTACTGGGGAGTCCTCTTGAGAGATATACCCGTAAAGGAATGAGAGTAGGAATGGGGAGAGGGAGAGATGGACCAATGAGATGGTTGCAGTTGAGGCCTCAGCTTATTTCATGAGGAGCTTTGGAGCTGGATGGCCCTTCAGAGATGTTGCAAATTGAGGCAAGAGGGCCAGGTTTTTGTATTCCTCCATTAGCTGGTCAACGGCTGCAGGCTACCCCTTGTGGGAGGGTTAACTTTACTCTGAGGCAGCTTCTCAGAGCAATTCGCACTGAGAGATGCAGCTGTGAGCCAACAGTATCTGATAGTTCCATCAGCTGGAGGACGATTGTGTTGACCCTGAAGAGGGGAACTGGTTGAAGGACCACAGTATCTATTACAAAGTTCAAAATGACTTATCTTTGGCCAATGGGAATGCTTTGTGTGGGCTCTTGTGTTTTTTGAAATGACCCACTGGTTTTGTAGTGCCTCCTTGCTTTCTGGTATAAAAATTACAGGATCTTTTAGTATATTACCTGAACTAGAACTGGAATCAGTCATTTTTCCAAGGATTTTTTAAAAAGAGGTATTTTGAGCCCAGCGGTGTGGCCCAGTGGCTGACCCATGAGCCCGGAGGTCACCAGTTTGATTCCTAGTCAGGGCACATGCCTGGGTTTGGGGCTAAACTCCAAGTAGGAGGTGTGTAGGAGGCAGCCAATCAATGTCTCTCATCAATGTTTCTCTCAATCCTTCTCCCTTTCTCTCTAAAATCAATAAAAACATATTTTAAAAAATAAAATAAAAGAGGTATTTAGAGACCACAAAATGAGTGTTAGGATTGTTTATTAATTCTAGGCCTTTTCAATGGACAGAATTGAAAAGTATATATTTTAAAAGAAAATGAATCACAAGTTCATATTAATATTGCCATTTCAAATTTAACATTATAGGACTTTTACTTAATTTCTTTGATTTTACACTTTTATCTCCTTTTTCTTACATTAAAAATCTTAGTTTATAACTCTAAATATTTGTATTCTCCTTTCTCCCCCATGTACATTTCAAATAGTAATACTACTGTTGTTGTAAACAATTAGGCTACAAATTAACTTTTAAATATATCCTTGCAGCTCTCTCTAGGATATGTTCCAATGTGTTTTATTTTATTTTTTAAAAATATGTTTTTATTGATTTTAAAGAGAGATGGAGAGGGAGAGGGAGAGAGAGAAACATCGATCAGTTGCCTCAGGAATGCACCTTGACCAGGGACCAAACCAGAAATTCAGGTATGTGCCCTGATTTGGAGTCAAACCGGTGACCTTTCAGTGCATGGGCTATACTCACCTAACTGAGCTGCACGGCCAGGGCTCTAATGTGTTTTAGAGTCACTAGGTTTTATGAAGGCACTCTGCTTGGTTCTAACCCTCTTCAACCTTTTAATTCATTACTTGTAACAGGATACACTCTTGTCAAATTTACAGATAACAGGTAGCCAAAAAGATAAGAGAATCTATTAGAAGACAAAAACCAGGGTCACAAATAATCTCTATTCTTTATAGTGATGGTCTAAATTTAGTACAATGAAATATGGTAGGTATAGCTGCAAGTAGGCAGTTGTTTTATACTCCACTTAATCCACAAAGCATTAGAAAAGACTTTTATAAACTTAAATTTATTAATAAGAAAGGCTACCACTTTTTGAGCACATACTATATGCCAGGCACTCTGCTTCACATAATTTTTAAATTTAATCTTGACATAATTTTTAAATTAAATCTTGACAAGAACCTCATAAGGCAATAGCAGTAGTATGAAAATTATAATATATAACATTTACAGAGCATTTCTTGTGTACCAGGCGTTGTTTTAGGCAGTTTACACTTAATTCTCACAACAACCCTACAAATTGGGTACTATCGTTATTTCCTTGATATAGATTAGGAAATTGAGGCACAGAGAAGTTAAATAACTTGTGAAGGTCACACAGTAAATTGAGCTAGGATCCAAATCTGGCAGTCTGATTTCAAGGCAGTAGGTATTCTTCCCCCTTTTACAGATGAGATTCTGAAAATTACAGAGGTTGGGAAACTTCCCCAAATTTCTAGTAATCTAAGGACTGGGATTCAATCCCATGGCGCTTGACTTTACAGCTGATTCCTTAACTGCTCTGCTGTGCTGCCTTCTTGTAAAACTACGAAGTCACTAGTCGTTAGATCAGGTACTTTAACATATTATTGGTCGCAATCTTGATAACAACCCTAGGAGGTTGCTTTTTCACAGACAGGAAATGAAAGCTCAGGAGGTTAAGCAAGGTGCTCAAGGTTACACATAATGAGTGGTAAAGCTGCAGTTCACACCCAGGTCTGACTCCAAGGCCCATATTCTTAAACATCACACGGTGCTAGAAGATAAAGGCATGACAAAGCAATAGCATTAGTAAAAAAGACTGCTTGCAAGTTCAATGTGAGGCAGTGGTGTGGAGCTACTGCCCCCAAGGAAAATGCAACCTGAAGCTGCCTTGTAGAAAGAGTGTTCAGAGCAAGGGAGGCCACAGTCCCCCCTGCTCTGCAATGGCAGAGTGCGCCTGGAGCACTGACCTACCCGACGCCCAGCCAGAGGTGAGTGCAGAGTGAAGGCTCTTAGTAATGTGCTTAAAGGAAGAACTGTTAAAAAGCTGAGAGTAGCCCCCAAAGAGGACAGGTGGCTCCAAGGCTGAATAGCTAGTATTTAAAGTGTCTTCATGTGGTGGAAGATGAAAGCCAACCCAGAGGGAAAAAGCTAGGTTGCCCATATAGAAAATCAAAGAGGTGGACTTGGCTCCTTACGGGGAGGAAGGATGACTGTCTGGTGTTTGGAGTTGGTTAGAAATGAAATGGGCTTCCTTGTAAGACAGTGAGTTCTTTTTCACTGACAACAACCTGAATGAGCACTTTCTGTGGGTGTTAGACTTATATGTCAGGTGTAGTAGTTCTTAAATGTTAGTGAGTATACCACTCACCTGGGGGAACTGGTAAAATACTTATTTCCATGCCTCACTTTTAGAAGTATTGACTCTGTAGATCATTAGATAAGGTCCAAGAATCGGCCTTTTTAACAAGCAGCCTGGTGGATCCAAACCAGGTGGTCAGTGACCACACATTGAAAACTAGTGAGGCTGGTAAATTCTGAGATCTCGCCCGCTTATTTTGCAAGTAAACATTTTAGTAAATAACGCGTGTAGTCAACATAGGACTGTTCAGAGAAAGTTGTAAGTTTTATAAAAGAGTCAAGACAAAATTCTTTGCTATGTCGAAGGTTACAATTAGAGATGGAATTATTGGAGTGTAGCATATTAGGATATGGAAAGAGAAGGCTTGATTCTCAATCTGTCAAAAAGATAAGACTTCAGAAGTGAAACGGAAGATACAAATGCAGTTTGAAAACCTTTAAACACTTTAGAAAGAACCCAGTCTACATATGACAAGGAGCAATTTCATGGGGACTGAGAAAAAGCTGATAACCCTAAATGAGCAGCACCTGTGTAAGGTTAAACACCTAGCAGGCTTTGGGGTCCCGGGCTTATATAAGCTTCAGCCTAAAGCTAACAAAAGTCTGAGTGAGAGTTAGAAACTTAAAGCATAGCTGGTCTTCTAACTCTCGCCCACTTTTTGTTGGGGCTGAAGAATTTTTGCTGGCAAGTATAAAATGTTTGATTAATCTTGACTTCTATGTAAAGTGTGCAACCTGAGAGCCACATTTTAAATCTATACTGTATCCTGAAATGTTTTTGCTCTCTGTAAATATGTTTTTTAAAAGTGGGGCTTGGTGTAATTACTGTCTGATATCAAGACTTTCTCTTTTACTTAAGTTGCATAATGCTTTGTTTCTTAAGTGTATTAGAGTTTAAAAAAGACATTTTTCCTTTGAAACTCATTAAAAACTGGCTAGTTGAGGAGGTGGTACTTTTGGCTGTTTTGTTGATTGATAGTATTAGTGTGCTTATTTAGTTCATTAAGAACTAGCAAAGAATTTCTGTTTTATATTTAAGGTATATAAAATTTCCAAATAGCAACTGCATGTTGGTAAGTTAGGCCCTTGCTTTTACTTACTTTCTTCTTGCTTTCTTTTAATGGTTGCAGACCTCCTCATAGATTTTTTTCCTTAAATCATGAGAGATGAAATTGCAACAACAGTTTTCTTTGTCACGAGGCTGGTGAAAAAGCATGATAAACTGAGTAAACAACAAATAGAAAACTTCGCAGAAAAGCTGATGACTGTCTTGTTTGAAACATACAGAAGCCACTGGCACTCTGACTGCCCTTCTAAAGGGCAGGCCTTCAGGTGAGAGCTAGTACGAGGCGTGGGAAAGGGGGGGAACAAGGATCAGCAAGGATTTTGCTGGCAAATTGATTCGTTTGAACGTGGGCTTGAAAGAAAGATAGTGCATGGGTGATAGTGCAGTTGAATATCACGGCACAAACCCTCTTATGTGAGGTGGATTAAGCATTTTCTAACTTGTGTTTACCATGGAAGATACACAGTGAACATTTGGTGAATTAATTCTGTGACTTGGTGATGCAACTCGCATTCTGAGCTGCTGTGAGAAAAGCTGATGTTTCTTTGTAAGACTGGAGGGTGAGGGGGGAGCTGTGTGTACGGCAGCAATATGCCTACCAAGTGATTCTCCTGCTAAAGCACCTGTCACCGTGCCTTTGTTTCCCTTTCCTTGTTTTTAAAGGTGTATCAGGATAAACAATCAGAATAAAGATCCCATTCTACAGAGGGCTTGTGCTGAAAGCAATGTGGATTTTTCTCACCTGGGACTTCCGAAGGAGATGACCATATGGGTAGATCCCTTTGAAGTTTGCTGTAGGTGAGTAATCTCGTTGGAAGTGAGAGCCTGTGTTCTCTCTGACACATGGAAACCTAAGGTTATTTAGTCTGTTCTGTGCCTTTGTGAACGATGCTGTTCCAAAGCCCTGGGTCAGCAGTGAGGGCAATGGCTGGTTAAGATTTTAGATGCAAACTTTATTAGACGACAAAGACTTTCAGTAGGAGTGGGAAATACAAAGATTTTGCATAATATTTGAAATTTGATTTTAATCTCTGTATCCTATTGCCAACAGTAGGTTATAATATCTAAGTATTATAGGTAGTATCGGGGGGGGAGAGGAATTATCTACCAGGGGCAATTCGGTCCATTAGTTCAATAAAGAGAAACTAGACTTTGTCTTTTCTGAGCAGTTAACCAAGATAGCTCTTATGGAAAGCTCCCACTAATGACCACAGTGTAGTAGTTAAAGGTCATGTCTCTCAACTTGCTTTGCTGTCATGTCATTTCAATTTATTTTTCAAAATAACTCTTTTTGTAAGTTAGTGAGTTGTTTCCAGGAAGGATTAGAGATGAAGCTGTGAAACACTGAATCCCACACCAACACTTCCCTTTCCTTTCCTACCTAGGTATGGTGAGAAAAACCATCCATTCACAGTTGCTTCTTTCAAAGGCAGATGGGAGGAGTGGGAGCTCTCCCGACAAATCCATGATGTTGTCAGCAGAGCCTCACTAGACTACTCCTCTGGTATTTCCTCTGATGAAGAAAGTTATAGCAGAGCACCTCGGATAATTCCTAAAGTCAGCAACCCAAGGAGTGTTTATCAGGTAAAGTGTGTTCCAGTTCTTCTATGTGCTTTCAATCCTATTCTAACTCTAAAAAGAATACGCTCCCTGTAAAGCAAAGAAGCAACAATTGGAAAATGGAAAAAACAAAGATTAAAATCACAATAGTAATGTCCTGGAAAACTGTATTTTCTGTTTTTTTCTTCTTCTTCTTCTGTTCCTCTACTTGGCTAAGTGCTCAGAATCTATACTGTCTTTTCAGTCCCATTGTTCCATCTAGTGAACATAAGCTTCCCTTCACCTAAATTTCTTCAGAATTAATATTAAAATTAGCGGGCTTTTTGACAACAGAAAACATACCACTCATAGGTAATTTGGAATATTAAGAAATAATCAAAGGTCTGNCCCCCAGGCCTTCACTGTCCTATGAATTTTCTGTTCTTCATCCACTTATCATTTGAGGTCCGAATGTATTGTCATGGGCTCTTCAAACTTTAGGAGTATTTTAACTCCTTGTCGTATTACTGGAAAATATGTTTCCCTAGCTTGTTTAGTTCTCTAAACTATAGATCTAGATCTAGATCTAGAAATATAAACTATATATATATAATTTACATATAGTTCTATATGTATAAAAGTTTAAAATGATAGTGAAGTATTTGCCCTTCATTCCCCTTCTATGCGCGGAAAGGCCCTGTCCCACCTGGGGGTCAGCCCGACGGCCGGCTGCGCTGTTCTGGAGCCTCGTTCTGCGAAGGCGCAGCCCGTAAACGTCTGCTCCGGCCTCGGGTGTTGAGACCGATGTTTCTAGGCCTCCGCCCCGAGACCACGCTTGGGCAGTTTCGGGTCCCGCCCGTGAGGCGGGGCGGCGTAGGGGACAATATATAAAGTCGCATAAACGTGTTTCGAAAATTTTTAGTTGAATTAAAACATTAATTTTGTTAAAAGGTACGAAGTCGACTGTGTATCCCCGAAAATGCCAGCCCACTCTCCGGGGAGGCTTATGCACGTTCTATTCCACCCGTTTTTACCTATTTCTTTTCTTTCTTTTTTCCAGATTGAAAACTTGAACCGGCCCTTTCCGTCTTGGCTCCAAATCCTCCCCAAAAAGCACCCGGCGTGNCTTTTTTTTTTTTTTTACCACAACCCATACAAAGATATGCACAGCTATATATTAGAAATAGGTTTCATAATACAATTCTTATCCTTATTAGGTACAATGCTCCCAACACTTTGAATTAAATTAAATTGATTTCAACTACCTAAATTGATTTCATGACTCACTAATGGTGGCCACCCATAGTTTGAAAAACACTGATCTAGAGGGATCTGTGTTGACACTTGGTATGTGTATACTTGTTGGTATGTTTTCTTAGAATAATCACTTCTGTATTAACATGTTAAAGCAATTTGAATATTTAAAATGTTAACATACATTTGCTTTCCTAGTAATTTACTCAGTTAATCTATTATTTCCACAATGTTGTGATCTAAAAAAGCTGGTAACTTGTACAGAACTGTCTGAATTTTAAACTATTTCTGGAGATGTGATTCTCAGACATGGAATTACTGGGCCATTGGGTATGGACAGTTTACTAATTCTCAGTGAACGGCCAAAGTATCTTCTAGAAAGCTGTATTTATTTGTAGACTAACCAGCTTTATGTGAAAGTGTTCACCATTTTCCCTAAAATGTGATATTCTCACTTAAAAAGTTTGATAACAATACTATTACAGATATTATTAATTAAATTAAAAAATTAAAAAATTTCCATGCCCCCAAATGTTTTAGGTATTTACTATCTTATCTTTTTAAATTTCTTTATTGTTGAAAGTATTACAGATGTGTTCTCTTTTCCCCATTGACCCCCTCCACCCTGCACCCGTCCCCCCCTCTTATTAACTGGCCTCCTCAGCCTCCAATTTTATTTAATTTTTCATGTTGCTAGCAAACGAATCTTCCTAAGGATTACTACTCCAATCTCAGCATTCTTTTGCACTCTTATTGCTCCGGGTTGTTTTTTTTTCCTCTCCTGAAGAGTAAAGTACAAATTCCTTAGCACAGCTTTTGCTTTTCCATTAAGGTATGTCCTCATCTCTTCTTCCTCCCAGGAACCTTTCAGCTGTTTCTAGAAACCTGTCTTCCTTCTTCCCTTCTCATCATGTTGCCCATTTTCTTTCTTTGTGCCTCAAATGTTTTACTTCCAAAATTCCTTAATCTGAATTTCTATCCAACATAAATGTTATTTCTTCCCCATTTGGGAATTAATCTCTTCCATTATCATTCCTGGACACTGTACCTCCATTAAAGCATTTAACAAAGTTGTCTTTTTGTTGTTGTTAATCCTCAGCTGAGGATATTTTTTCCACCGACTTTTAGAGAGGATGGGAGGGAGGGAGGGGAAGATAGAGAGAGAGACACACATCGATTGGTTGCCTCCCGCACGTGCCCCAACTGGGATGGGGGATGGAACCTGCAACCCCGGCATGTGCCCTTGGTTGGGAATTGAACCCATGACCCTTCAGCACGCTGGCCGGTGCTCTAACCACTGAGCACATCAGCCAGGGCAACACAGTTGTCTTTTATTACAGGACCTTGTGTACATTTTTTACCTTTCCTTGTCGATTATAAGCTTCTTGAGGGCAAGACAGTACCTTATTTCTNCCGCGGGGACGGGTCCCGCCGGGTGAGCCCGAGGGCTGCGCTCGCCCTGCCACGCAATCGCCCCTGTTCTTAGCTGTACTTTTAATTCTTATTTGATTTCATGTGAGGTTTTATGGAACACCAAGGAACGTACTCACTAAGGTGGTACACCGAAGGTGTGAACCTGTGAGAACATTGAATGCATTATGAAAAGGAAGTTTAAATAAACGTGTCGTTTTTAATATATTCCTTATTCAATCTGTTGCAAGAAAATTTTGTAAGTTTTTGCTGCTTCATTGGCTATTANTATTCCTTATTCAATCTGTTGCAAGAAAATTTTGTAAATTTTTGCTGCTTCGTTAGCCATTAAAAAAAGGTAAGGTCTTCATTTAGGGCAGAGTGACCTCAGAATATAGTTTTCTGGTCCCACTTTATTACCTGCCGTCCCTTGTATTTCATAAGGCCGGTGAGAGCTTGTTTGAAAGCTCTTAATTCCCTTTTTAAAAAATTGCTTAATAGACTTAATAATTATGACTTATTTTATAAGAGCGATACACGCTCATCATGAAGAATTCAAGCTCAGCAGGAAAAACACAGCACCAAGAAAATAAAAATCGATCACATCCAGCCAGAAGTGACCACTATTAACTTTAAATGGTGACTATCTTCCCAGTCACCCTCTTCTATATACAGATGTATGAATCTAGAGACAGATAATTTAATAAGAAAACCATACCACAGGAGCTACTTGTTAAATATTTAGATTTAATTCACTTGATCTCAGCAAAACAAAGAAACCTAAAGGGAAACAAAGACTTGTTGAAATACTCATCAGCTTTCTGTCACAAAGTCTTTTATTTCCTGAAAGGCTTCTTCATGATTTTTTTTAAAAAAAACACCAGGAGGCTGGGGACAATCTTTTAAAACTTAAATTTTTAAATTGAGTATTGATTATTTGTTGCTATGTAAACTGCAGAAATTAGCACTCTTATTTTTTCCTCCGTCCCTTACTGCCAATTTTAAATAACTGAGGTGTAACTGACAGATAACGTTATTTTCAAGTATACAACGTGATTTGGATATTTGTATACCCTGTGAAAAGATTACCACAGTAAGGCTAGTTAACACTCACCACCATACATAGTTACAAAAAATGTTTTTCTTGTGATGAGAACTTTTAAGATTTACTCTCTTGGCAACTCGCAAATATGGGACCTTTTAATGTCAAGGTTTAATATTTATGTTCTGTCCTGAAACAATTATTCCTATACTTTCCACCCCTTAGTTCTAATGTTTAAACTAATTCAATGTTCATCAAAAAACTTCTCTTCCTTTTTTTTTTTTTTCTTCTCTCTTCTCCCTCCTGGCAGCTCCTTCCCCCCTTGGAGCAGCTCCTCCCCCCCTTGGAGCAGCTCCTCCCCCCCTCGGGGCAGCTCCTTCCCCATTCAGGGCAGTTCCTTCCCCACACGGCAGCTCCTTCCCCGTTCTGGCAGCTCCTTGCCCCCTTGAAGCAGCTCCGTTCCCCCTCGGGGCAGCTCCTTCCGCACTCGGTAGCTCCTTCTCCCTCCTGGCAGCTCCTTCCCCCCTTGGGGCAGCTCCTACCCCTTTGGGGCAGCTCCTTCCCCACTCAGGCAGCTCCTTCCCCACTCAGGGCAGCTCCTTCTCCATCGGGGCAGCTCCTTCCCCCCCTTGGGGAAGCTCCTTCCCCCTTCTGGCTGCTCCTTGCCCCTTTGGGGCAGCTCCTTCTCCACTCAGGGCAGCTCCTTCCCCCTCGAGGCAGCTCCATCGGGGANTGGCAGCTCCTTGCCCCCTTGAAGCAGCTCCGTTCCCCCTCGGGGCAGCTCCTTCCGCACTCGGTAGCTCCTTCTCCCTCCTGGCAGCTCCTTCCCCCCTTGGGGCAGCTCCTTCCCCACTCAGGGCAGCTCCATTCCCTCCTGGCAGCTCCTTCCCCTTGGAGCAGCTCCTTCCCCCTCCAGGCAGCTCCTTCCCCCTCTGGCAGCTCCTTCCCCCCTTGGGGCATCTCCTTCCCCACTTGGCAGCTCCTTCCCCACTCAGGGCAGCTCCATTCCCTCCTGGCAGCTCCTTCCCCTTGGAGCAGCTCCTTCCCCCTCCTGGCAGCTCCTTCCCCCTCCAGGCAGGTCCTTTTCCCTCGGGGCAGCTCCTTCCCTCCTTGGGGCGGCTCCTTCCCCACTCAGGCACTTCTTCCCCACTCAGGGCAGCTCCTTCCCCACTCAGGCAGCTCCTTCCCTCTCCTGGCAGCTCCTTCCCCCTGGAGGCAGCTCCATCCCCCTCGGGGCAGCTCCTGCCCCCCGGCTGCTCCTTCCCCCCTTGGGGCAGCTCCTTCCCCACTCAGGCAGTTCCTTCCCC